AGTTGATTTAATCAATTTTTACATATTATATGCATTAGTGCATCTTTAAATTTATCTTTCTTTAATTTTGTATTAAAAAATAATAATTTTGTAATTAATATATTATATATTGTGTTGAATTAAAAAATATATCAATTAATAATATTTTTTAAAAAATACATTCAAATTTGATTCTTGTGTGTTTTCTCTCTGTTTATCAATTCTTTTCGCCAAATCCCATCTTAAATTTTATTGGAATTTGAATTGCTTCCTATTAGCTAGTAAACATATTGCTGGATAAATCAACTTGTTCCCCATGCTGCAACTGTATCACTTGCTAAACAACACAATTGAAACTAGTTATATGGTGTTTCTGAGCCAATTCAGTTTAATATATTTTTTTAAAAAAAAATTTTTAAGTGTTAGTTTCAAATTTAAACTCTTAACCTAAATTACAAGTGAATTTAATCCTTGAAGTTAATTCCAGTATTGCCTCTTACACTTCAACTTTATCTTTAATTACTTTGTTCGCGAGAGAGGCAAAGAATACCGAATATAGAGTTTTGGTCTAAGCCTGCACATCCTGCATCCCATTCAATTATTTCTTGCCTTGCATTTTTTTTTTTTTCTCACTGACAACTTCTCTGCTCCGGTTCTGCCAGTCGATGGATCGGTGACGGTTAGTGCTATTGTTTCATACATAGCGTTTTCGTTTATTTGTATATTTTCCTAAAATAGTCTTTGTTATTAGTCAAAGTATTTAGATGCATGTTGGAATTTTTTTTCTGATTTTATTTCATCAATAATATATTGAGTCATGATTTATTTACAAATAAATCTTTTACATTTTATTTAAATAAAATTTAATCATTCATTTTTCTATTGTAAGTAGTTTAGATTTATCACTATTTTTTAAATGAAAATATAATTATCTTTAAAAATCAGATAAAAATTTGACACTTTATTCGCTTCAAAATAACTATATTTTTTTACTTTAAATTTGTCTCAAATTAATTTTTCGTATTTTTTAAAGTAGACAAATATTTTTTTATACTTTAACCCTATCACTATTTATTTACTTTAATTAATTATTTTATCACAAAAAATCATATCTTCATCTTTTATTTATTTTAAGGGTAATATATCTAAATACATAAAATGCCCCTAAATCTTTAAGTTGGAGAAAAAGTAAAAAAGTGACAATTAGTTTAAGACAAATGTAATAAATCTTAACAAATAATAGTATATAAATAGTCAAAATTTTGTATAAATTATTGTGAGAGAGTGGTATGTATGTAAAATAATTTTAATCCATATATATTATATCATTTTAATAAACTCTCATTAAAAATAACTTAAATAACTTATTTTTAAAACATGAGGGATATTATTTCTATAAACAAACATGAATGATCTGAATTTTTCTCTAAATTTTCCAAAAAAATTAATTGATAATGTATATTGAATGAACACATGTAAAAAGAATTTTTCTCTTTTTACGATAGAATTAATTATTTTATAATTTGATTATCTTTACTATTTAACTCATTATTCGAGTTTGGTCCAGAACCTCATCGATTATGCCTTTTTTTATATACACAAGACTATATATTTCAGTGTTCTTTCGTGATCCTTTATTAAGTGATTTAATTTTAAGATATTTTTATCTTTAATTTTTTAGAGATTTGATTAATAAATATTTATATATATGAAAATTTTATT